TATAAATGCACGGCAACGCACAAGGCATTCGTCGTGGGTCCCGTCAATCACTTGATGCAGAAGTATAAACCAGGCTTGAGATTGTACGATTTCATACGAATTAGCCACTAAATCAAAAAGTTAGATCACGTGAGATTATGTTGCCGTGAGATCATGTTGTAATTCTTGGTAATGCGAAGAACATGCTAGCATGTTAGCAATGTAAGAATTATGCTAACAATGCTATAAATATATCAGTTCATACCAACAATGATAACATACTGGAAACATACTAAAAACATGATAAGCCATGCTAGCAACATGCTAATTCTCACAACTTTTTTCAAGCCAACATCAAAGTTTGTTACAAACATTTTTCTCCTAATCATTCACATTTTACAAACTTAAAAACTTTTTTTTTATTCATTTGATTAGCTTAACATATTGTTCAGTCACCTAGCTCACCAAGTGTGAAACATTGTGTGACATTTGCCCTTTTTTTCTTTTTTTTTTTTCTTTTTGTGGTTTTCATAGCACCGGATCTTTTTTTTTTTTTTTTTTTTTTTTTTTTTATGAGGTGTGTATGTGTTTTTAGTCTAACTGTGAGAAGAGCATTTATGCCATAGCCATAACAACATCTGCAGCCCTAATCTCTTACAAACTTTTTTAATCTGTCAGTGAATGTTTTATTAACTGAGTTAATCTTCATCTTCAATCAGTGAACCTTCTCTGAGAGTCCACACTGATGCTGTTGTCAGCTTCATTTGAGCACAGATCTGCGACTGGTGACTTAAATAGCTGATTCTTCGTGTGTGTCTGTTTGTTTTCAGGAAAGATCAGATTTAGTAGGCACTTACATTCTGAATCTAAATATAGGCGCACGCCCTAGATATGTACATATGATGTGGATTTTGAGTTTGTGATTCGTCATGAGTCTGACCTATTTACACTCTCAGGTCATAATAAAAACAGAAACCCATATTACAGTCTTTCTCAGTCACTTTGGAATATTTCTCAGATCAGAATTGAAATTCTCAAAACTCCCTGTTCAATATTCAGTGCATTGTGTCAGTTGTGCACATCAAAAAAGCAGTTTCCCTTTCTTTGAACAAGTTGAAAATTCTTTTGTACGTCCATGCAAATGACTATGTGCAATTCTCTAATGTTTCCTGCAGTATCAGTTACTTATGTTATGTTTATCTAAATGTCTTATTTTGGTCTCTGTTGAATAGTTTCACCCCCCACAACATTCGTTTGTTCATGGCATATATCTTTACATGCAAAATGACTGAACAAGTTGTCATAATATTAAGTCATTATGCATTTTTATACACATTTCTATTCAATTTTTTTTTTTTTTTTACTAAATCTGTCTACAATTGGTGAATTTCTCAGGTGAATTTCTAATGAAGGTCATCACAAAAAAGTCTATTTTTGTTTAGTTTTTTCTTTGTGGTATGTAGGGTTGTCTTTTTCTTTCTGTATCACAATGACATGAACTGTCAACAAATTACAGTACAAACAGTGAAATAAATAAAAACTAGCCATAATTTACATTAAAACAGCCCTCCAAAGTACACTGTTATATTGACAATGTGGTAACATGATCTTATCCATACACAAAAACACAAAGTCTCATTATTCTGACTGCACTGACAAGTTTATTGACACAGAAATTAGGTTTTAAGAGATGATCTAAGGATTTTGAGCAAGAGACTGACTTTTCTGCTGGTTATCCATGGTGTTTTGAGAAATGCACTTACTGTGTTAAAAATTTCAATTTTGATCTGCTCGTTAGCACAAATTTCTAGTCAGCCAATCACATGGCGGCAACCCAATGCATTTCAGCATGTAGACATGATCAAGACGATCTGCTGCAGTTCAAACCGAGCATCAGAATTGGGAAGAAAGATGATTTAAGTGACTTTGAATGTGGCATGGTTGCTGGTGCCATACTGGCTGGTCTGACTATTTCATAAACTGCTGATCTACTGGGATTTCATGCACGACCATCTTTAGGGTTTACAGAGAATGGTCCAAAAAAAGAAAATATTCAGTGAGTGGCAGTTTTGTGGGTCAGAGGAGAATGGCCTGATTGGTTTAAGTTGATAGAAAGGCAACAGTAACTCAAATAACCACTTGGTACAACCGAGGTATGCGGAAAAGCATCTCTAAATGCACAAAACGTCAAACCTTGAGATGGATGGCTACAGCAGCAGAAGACCACTCCTTTCAGCTTATAACAGGGAAATGAGGCTAAAGTTCACACAGGCTCACCAATATTGGGCAATAGAAGATTGGAAAAATGTTGCCTTGTCTTATGAGTCTCGATTTCTGCTGCGACATTCGGATAGTAGTGTCAGAATTTGGCATCAACAACATGAAAGTGGTGGTGGTGGTGGTATAATGGTGTGGGGGCCCATTAGAACCAATTGAGTATTGTGTCAACACCACAGCTTACCTGAGTATTGTTGCTGATCATGTCCATCCCTTTATGACCACAGTGTACCCATCTTTTGATGGCTACTTCCAGCAGGATAACGCACCATGTCAAAGCATGAATCATCTCAGACTGGTTTCTTGAACATGACAATGAAATCACTATACTGATATGGCCTCAACAGTCATCAGATTTCAATCCAATTGAGGACCTTTGGGATATGGTGGAACAAGAGTTTGGCATCATGGATGTGCCGCCGACAAATCTGCAGCAACATGTGAGATGCAACATGTGAGAGATCAATATGGACCAAAATCTCTGAGGAATATTTAGTACCTTGTTGAATCTATGCCACGAATGATTAAGGCAGTTCTGAAGGCAAAATGGGGGTCCAACCTCGTATTAGTAAGGTGTACCTAATAAACTGTCTGGTGAGTAAAAAAAAAAAAAAACAATGAGCATGAAACAGCTTATGTTTCTGTTTACATATAAGGTCAGGTTGGATAATCTGAATTTTATTTATTAATTTTTTCAAAGCAGACTTGTTGAGTGAGTTTTGTGTCATATTTCATGTGATTTAGCCTCAGATCAGGTGTGTGAAAATCCTTTTTTGAGAGCACTGATGTGGGACCAGTGCTTTCTTTATAAACAGCAAATTACAAAACTTCATAGGGGAAAGGGGAACTGATTCTCAATGACCGTTTTCATATAGTTGTATTAAGTGTGAGCTGGAGGTATGAACAAGCTGCTTTTAGTTCTCTTGGAAAGTGAAACATGAAGAGTGAATCAATTGTCAGAAGCTTTTAATTTTTCTTATGCAACAGGCCCTGCTTTACATAATTAGTTGTGATTTTTACAGTTTATTGACCATAAATAAGTAAAAGTTTAATGCAAATATCTACAGTATGTATTATAGTTTTTAATATAATTAATTTCTTTCTTCTGATTTGTTTATACTTACTTACTTATGGCATAGGCCGCCAAAGGTAGATGTCCAGAGGTTCCTGTCCTGGGCCATTCTTTCTACTTGTCCCCAGGTGTAACCCATCCTTGTGATGTCTGCGACGAGGTCGCGTCGCCAGGTGTTTCTTGGAGGGCCTCTCTTCCGCTTCCCTTGGGGGTTCCATCTGAGAGCCTGTCTGGTGTTGCTAGTTGGTGGTTTGCGTAGGGTGTGCCCTATCCAACCCCATCTTTGCTTCGTTTATAACTTATATAAAATAATATATTATAGACACTAATGTTCGTTATTTTGTGTTTAAAGATTTTTTTTTTATCCTTCACATTTTGGTTTAAAAGAGTTGTATAAGTGCAAATGGAAATGTGCATATTGAAGCTTAAAGAAACGTTTAAACGGTGACGCAGTGGCTCAGTAGTTAGCACTGTCACCTCACAGCAAGAAGGTCACTGGCATTTCTGTGTGGAGTTTGCATGTTCTCCCTATCTTCGCGTGAGTTTCCTCCGGGTGTTCCGGTTTCCCCCACAGTCCAGAGACATGTGCTATAAGTGAATTGAATAAACTAAGTTGTATATAGTGCAGGAGAGTGTATGGTTGTTTACCAGTACTGGGTTGCAGCTGGAAGGGCATCAACTGTGTAAAACATATGCTGGAAAAGTTGGCAATTCATTCTGCTGTGGTGACCTCTGAAATAGAGACTAAGCTAAAAGAAAATTAATGAATGAATAAATATTAAATCACTAATTTATCATTTTATATCCTTTATTCACGTTGTTTTGTTTTTCTTCCTTGAATCATGTTTATTAATTGAGTTATAAAAATAATTATATTATAATTAAAATTAGAAAAATATAATAAAATAATTGGGTTATCTAAACTTTCAAATTATATTATAATAATATGCATAACAGCTCAGCCATCTTCTCAGAACTTGGTTAAATCTTCCAACCACACCCGACCAAAACACACATGCACACATATCAGAAGAGCAGAAATGTTTCAAACTGATGTGCATGCACTGTGCATATATAATCAATGACCACAAAACACATTACAGATCGCAAGCACAGATATGAAAACACACATTCGTAGCATACGGATATGCAAATACACCACTGGTTTAGTTTTGTGAAAAGCAACAGTTCTTGTCGTTTATATAAAAAAAAAAATAATAAAAAAAACTCTTAAACACAAACAGTAATAACTTTTTGAGCCATCACTAACAAAAATTTCTTTGTAAATACCAAGAACAAACAAGTTATCTCTGGTTAATCCCCTTATTAATGAATACACTGGTATTTCCCTTTACATTGGGAAATAATTAACATGTGTGTATACTACATTTTCACTGTTAGAATTTTTAGATTAAATATATAACATTGTTCACATAACCACGAGAGAGAGAGAGAGAGAGAGAGAGAGAGAGAGAGAGAGAGAGAGAGAGAGAAACATGTTGCTATATACGATAAGGGAAAATATCTGCCGGAAGACTGAAACAAAACCGAGAGGGGAAGTTCACATTCACAGCGCAAATACATAGAGAGCCAGTCAACCACTCAAAGCCACATTTAGAAGAGAGAGAAAACGAGAAAGAGACATGCAGATCAGACTGCAAAGTAGATGATCATTGAGCTGTTGTAACTGCTTGGGTGCTACAGATGTTTAGAGCGTTAAACTGAGTTTGAGCATTTATGTGGAAAGAGAACTATGAATTGTTGTTGGATATGATGCTGAACTGACATTAAACATGGATTGGACCTTGTGGATTTGTTTTCTAGTCTGCTGTACCCCAGGATTGATAGCAGGTAAGATTTTTTTAAGTATATATGTGCGTCATTTGTTCTGTGAACTATGATGTTTGTTACAAAATAATAATAAAAAAAATATATGATTTAGAGCATGAACATGATTTAGATTGTGTATTCATTTATTTTTATTTTTATTTTTTTGCTATTGAAGGATATTAAAGTCAGAATTATTAGCCATACTTTGTTTTTTGTTTTTATTTTTTGTTTAACAGAGCAAGGACATTTTCACAGTATGTCTGATAATATTTTAGCTTTGTAAGATATATATATATATATATATATATATATATATATATATATATATATATATATATATATTAACAATGTGTTAACTTCGAAGGTATTAGCAGTCATTACTTGGGGGAATAACCCTAGCTTTCAATGACAACTAATGACAACATCTATTTTTTAGCCTTTAGAAAATTTTATATATATATATATATATATATATATATATATATATATATATATATATATATATATATATATATATATATTTATTTTATTTTTTTTTTTTTTTTCTGCGGTTTATAGCTCCAACAACCAATATGTAGAAAAGACTATCTGGTCATATTTATTTCCTTATTTCTTGAACATCATAGAAATCTGTTATTAAGGTACTTATATGAAGACATCTCAAAGAAATGTATAATTCCAATGCCCTATAAAGCTTGTAGTTGAAGCCAGTAGATAATACCGCTCAAGAAAACCCAAATTTGTGTAATTGTATTTTTGAGTGAACCACCAGTTTCTGTTATTACATTGTATTGCATAGCATTGTGCAAAATCGAGTGATTTCCCCGTTGAAGTGGGCATACAACTGCAAAATGACTTCAGTTTGTTTCAAAAAAGGTGTTGTAATTCCTCCCACGTCTGGAAAGTACAGCTGAAATGCGAGACTAGAACTATGACTACAACAAAAGCAAATTAACTATTACTCTTTTAGGAAGTGAAGAGAATCGACGGAGCTAGTAAGAGCCTAACGCTAAGTTTTCTCTTTTGTTCATAGGTGAGCAGAAGAAATTAAATCTGACGTTCGACATATGGGAGGGAAATGTAACTGTGCTGTGGGATCCCCCCAATGAAGCCCCCGTACCTGCCTTTTATCAAGTAAAACTAGCACTGTACGCAGTCTTACTATCCACCAACAACATATACACATTTCAACTCATTATCCCAGCTTATATATATATATATATATATATAAAGCTAATATGTTTGTCTTCTTTTTTAGAGACACTGGTCCTCATGCTAAATGGAACATTGTGGAAGAATGTGACATGATTACAGAAACTAAATGTAATCTTGGAAACTTTATATTCAAACCTACAATGAAAGTAAAAATTGAACTGATAAGTGGAAATAACGAATCTTCCTGGTTGGTGATAAGAAGAATTCGTTTAGATTATAGTAAGTATGGACTTTTTATGCAATTATTTTATATATTGGCAATGAAGTAGCTAGTTTCTACATTTATATGACTTTATATTATTTTTAAAAGTAAGCATGCCCCCAAAACCAACCATCATTGGGGGATGAACAAGTCTTACATAAAAAATGCATATAAATTACGAAAGAGCCACTTCATCAAAAAGTTACGAATTATTGTGTTTACATCATATGACAAACTGTATATTTTCAAAAATTTTGTAAGGACGGTTTTCTTTTTGTGTTTTAGTTAAGCTGTTGTCTCCAGACTTTGACCTGTTCTCAGGGCCAAATACGGTGAAGGTTAAGATTCACAGAAAGCCATTTCTCAAAGAGCTTTTTCCATATGGACTAAGTTACTCTGCCATTCTGTATCCAAGAGGACAGGAGAGTAAGGTTGGTTTTTCAGTGGACATAGCTTAATGACAAACCCAATGGACACCTTGATGATGTCTTGGCATCAAAAAAGTTAAATTTGGGCTGTCTATAGTGGGAGCCAAATAGACAAATAGGCCAAAACTTGACTCGTTGTCAAATAGACAGAAATAAATAACTACACATATAAAATCTGTCTGTTTGACAACTATAGTGTACTGTAATTTTGGGCTATTTTAGATGTCTATTCGATTTTCACTGACAGCTCAATTTTAGCCTTGTTTTAGCTAAGTTATCTACGTTTAGATGTCTATTAAACATTTTTTTTTTTTTTTTGCTGGGTGGTAAAAACAACATCAAAAAACATCTAAAATGTGAATCAATTTAATGTAAAATTGTTGTCATCCATTTGATATCCACACTTTGATGCTCTTTTGAGTAATAAAATAATGGCACAAAAATTTACATCTTTCATTGCCTTTTTTTGACGTCAATATTAGATGTCAGTTTGATGTTGTTTTTTTTTACATCAAGGTTGTGGCATTGTGGGGATACAAAATCCTAAACTTTCCCTATAATAATATTATTTTTATTGTTGTTATTTTACGAAACTAGTAGCATTTTCACAACCTTTTACCATTCAAATTGATGTCATGTTTTAGTGATTTACCTTGTAGCTTGTTTATTTGATGATTCATAGCTAGTAAAACTTTAACTGATGTTTTTGTAAAGTCTTATCTGGAATGAACGCTATTGAAACAGTGGATGGACATAAATTATTTTCATTGTATTTTCTTGCGATCTTTAAAGCTTTGTTTTCTCTGATTTAGGCTAAAACATTGAGTGATGATGATGATGAAGATGGTGAAGTGGAGTTTACTGATTTATCATATTGGCAAGCGTATTGTGTTCGTGTGAGATTGGCGATCACATCTATTGCAGTGAGCAACACCTCATTGCCACGCTGCATACATCCACCAACAGGTACTACAGACATTTCCAGTAAAAGTTAAAACCATTAGAACATCTGTCATAGTTTCTTTGTTGTCAGTTGATTATCCAGTACATTACTACACTGTAATAAAAAATGTCAAACATCAGCTTGATGTTAAACAACATCCAAAGCCAGTCAAATATGTCAATCGATTTGATGTCGAATGAATACATTGATGTCAAAATGATATCAGATTGATGTTAGATTGAAAAAACATTGACAGTCCTTCAATCGATTTTGACATGTTTTTGATGCCAATGTGATGTTGTTTTGACATAAATGTTGTTTACATTCATTGTAGAGATACTAATTATGGTGTAAATTAGGAATTTGAAAAATAATCTTTCCGATTAATGATATTTTTGTGTAATTACTTAGATGGTCAAAGGGCCATGAATGTTTAGATGTCAAATGGATGTAAAGGTTTTGACATTTGTTGTGTTTCTTTGACATCATGCTTGATGTAACTTTGATGTCATTTTAACATCAAGATGCCAACTGGGAAGTTACAACAATTATTTTTATGTTAATCATAAGTCATTAAACTAAGTTAATCATGTTTCTAACCTAAGTTTTCAAGTTAAACAATTTTTTAAGTCAGTTTAACTTAATTTCAAGAGTTCCCACTTAGATATTGCTTGATATTAATAGCAGGTTTGGCTCTGAGCTTGAATATTATGAAACCCAGAGCTCCCACCTGGTCAATTAGCATGTAGAAGGTACGAGATCAGGTAGTTCTTGAAAGGAGGAGATGGGGTGGAAGGGGGATTTTTCCAAAATGAAGATAAGACTGTAGGGCAATATATATATATATATATATAGTTGAAGTCAGAATTATTAGCCCCCCTGAATTATTAGACCCCCCTGTTTATTTTTTGCCCCAATTTCTTTTTACCGGAGAGAAGATTTTTTTCAACACAATTCTAAACATAATAGTTTCAATAGCTTATTTCTAATAACTGATTTATTTTATTTTTGCCATGATGACAATAAATAATATTTTACTAGATATTTTTCAAGATGCTTGAAAGGATGCATATAAGGAACTTTTAACATCCATAGAACTTTTGTATTTCACAAAAGCTTCTTCATAGAGGCAAACAAATATGGACTGATCACTGAAAGGTTTCAGAAGGGTGCTTCTGTTTCATCACTTTTCATTCAAGTGTTTTCATTCACTTTTCAAGTGTGCAGAGGCTCAATATATTTTTTCTTGTTTTTCAGATTTGTCAGTGGTGATCTCCATCGGAGTAATTGGTGTAGTCGGAGTCATAACCTTATTCATGTTATTTGTCTGTTTCTTCCTGAGGCGTCCTGGTAAAATGCCCGCTGTTCTGGTGAGTCAATTTGGTGATTTGAAAATAGATTTAGTTTCGTGAAAACCAAAAGTGTTAGAGCAAGCCAGTTTCGGGGTTTTAGAAAAAGGAATTGAGCCCTAATAAGAAAGACTCAGCGTTAACTCTTGTCACAAGTGTCAGTTCTCCTTTCGAGGAACAGTAACAGTAAGACAAATGTCAGGGATTTTTTGTATCTTACGTATATGTGATGTCAATGCTCTTTGGTGTTAAATGATAACATAGAATGATAGCGTTCTGACTCTGGTTGATTTAAACTCAACTCAACCCAACTCTGGTAAAATATATATAACAGACTACTTCAAAGTTTTTTAGTAATTCTCTCAATTGGCCTTAAATTAGTAAATGCTTTAAGCAAAATATTAATTTATATTTAATATCTATTTTTTTAACTTGCTGATAATGTATCTTCAAAATAAAAAGCAACTAGAGAATTATGAAAAATGACTATAAGCCAGTAGAAAATATTAATATATCTTATAATATTATAAAAAAATATTTTAGACATTTTACACACATACATTTGTACAGCAATCTTAAAGGGGACTTTTCATATATGTAAGTTGTTTTTTTTTTAATACTGTACAAACTGTGATATCAAACCTGATCCTCATAATAAAAAATCTGCAATTTTACATTTAATGCTTGATTCTAATTTAGTGAACATTCTAATGTATGCTAAATTACTTTCTGATAAACCAAGAGCTAAAGTATTTCCAGGCATGTTTTGACCATGTACAGTCCCACATAACTATACACTGAATGATCTCTGTTATTTCACAGCCTTACAACTGTCAAAAAATCTAATCAAAACAACACAAAAATGCTTTGCATGAAAAATGTAAAAGACTAGATCCACACACAGCTGCTGTTTAAGGACAAACGGGAAGTTTATTTATAAACTAATTTCGAGAGGATCACATGCTTATGATTGAGCACGACTGGTCCCATATTAGCTATCACATGATTTACCAATCAGATAAATGGGAGACCACATGGGAAAGCTAGGTAGCTGCTGGAAGTGGCGATAGTGAGGCCAGCAGGGGGCGCTCAGCCTGTGGTCTGTGTGGGTCCTAATGCCCCAGTATACTGACGGGGATCTTTGGATGAGACGTTAAACCGAGGTCCCGACTCTCTGTGGTCGTTAAAAATCCCAGTATGTCCTTTGAAAAAGAGTAGGGGTTTAATCCTGGCATCCTGGCCAAATCTGCCCACTGGCCTCTGTCCATCATGGCCTCCTAACCCTTCCCATATCATAATTGGTTTCATCACTCTGTCTCCTCTCCGTCAATCAGCTGGTGTGTGGTGTGCGGTCTGGCAAAAAATGGCTGCCGTTGTGTCATCCAGGTGGATGCTGCACACTGGTGGTGGATGAGGAGATTCCCCCCATTGTGTAAAGCGATTTGAGTGCCCAGAAAAGCGCTATATAAATGTAAGGAATTAGTATTAATATTATTATTATTATTAAATCCAAACACGCTATAAATTACCAGAGTTTCTAACCTTAGTTTTTTGCGTTTTGACGAATCCCCCCATCCACTCCTACCCCATTTTTTAGATTATTCAGGATAGGGCAGCATGGTGGCTCAGTGGTTAGCACTGTTGCTTCATAGCAAGAAGGTCACTGGTTTGAGTCCTGGCTAAGCCAGTTGGCATTTCTGTGGAAGCTTAAATGTTCCTTCCCATGCTCGCATGGGTTTCCCCTGGGTTTCCAGGTTTCCTCCCATAGTCCAGAGATATGCAAGTGAATTAATTAAACCAAATTGGCACAGAGAATGAGCATTTAGTTCTGGGCTCCAACATATGCCTTCAGGTAGAGGTCTATCATGCTGTAAAAAAATTCCAAATCAATAATAGTCCCAGAACTAGTTCAGGAAACCTCTCGAGACCTACCTGAGCTCAGACTCCCCTCTCGCCCTACAAAAACAGGAGGAAGCCTCAGCCCCTAGGATCTTATGAGCTCAGGGCTTTCTTGAGGGAACTCATGCCAAACACACCTTGCTATTGTTCATCTGCTATGTGAACACTTGAACGCTGAATAAAAATACCTTAAAATACAACATGTAAACACAAATATTATAATTTACATGTTTTCTTAACCTCATGTCTACAGTATTTTCTAATAACTCAATGGTTCATTGCCTGTTATTTCCTAAATATATATTTTCCCCAATATTTAAGAATTATTACTGGTTAATAAAATTAAAAACTAAGTGGTTTGTGTTTTGAGTCTAATGCTAATTAATGGCAAATCCAGAGAACTGAAAACAGCTACAAAGCATTTCTTCTTTACAATTTCATACTTGCAATTTCTTCTATTAACAAAACTTATAACTAAGAATTTTTGCTCAATAAACACCTAATTTGCTGCTTAATAATAATTAGGGTAGTAGTTTTGAGTAGAATTAGAGATGTAGAATAAAATCATGCAAAATAGTTACTTATAAGTAGGCCAACATGGAATCTGCCCGAGCAGAATTCCGATTTCAGCTGATTTTTTCATTGATTCTGTTTATTTATTATTTGTGTAAATGCGTGTAAATTTATATTTTTAAATTTATTTAATTTCAGTATAAGTATTGACTAATAGGAAAATGTTTATATAATTTATTTACAATACAGTTTGAAAAGTATATCTTTTATTATATATATATATATATATATATATATATATATATATATATATATATATATATATATTTATATATATATATATATATATATATATATTATATGACAGCCTTGCTTTGTTCACCAAATAAAGTGGATCTAATTGGATTTGTATTGTAAACATTAAAAACAAGTTAAAAAGGTATTACTTTTTAGTTCCTATATTAAAGTCTTAGTTATGATATTCGCAAAATTTCCGCAGATTTTTAACAAATTTCTGAGCAGAAGTAGCAAAAAATGTCCTCAAATTCCTTCTGGCCCTACTTATAAATTTTGATAAACAGCCAATATCTTAATAATAGGCAGGTAATAAGCCACTAGTCATTAATGATAATTGGTCTCAATTCTAAAGTGTCACCTTTTAAAAGTTATCAGTTAGTGTATTTATTTTAATTAGAATTAGAATTATATTATTAATGTATTATCATTATTAATGTAGAAAAAAGTTGTGCTGCTTCACAATTTGTTTGTAAAAAATGAAGGATTAATTGATAGATGCTTTTTTAAAATAGTTTGTAACATTATAAATGATTTTACTGTAATTTAATAGAATAAATTGAAAATACCCCATGCATCTGATTAAACCATTCAAATTTATTTCACTTCTGTTACGGTCAGATTAATTATAAAGTGTTCACCATATGTTCTCCATTTATTCATCAGAAATTGGCTGTGAATGGCTGGCTCCCAATGAATGTAGGACAAACCGAGGTGGAATCGGTCACTCAGAAGGGATGGCTACTGAACAGCAACAAAATCGCAGAAAAGACCAAAGCATTCGATGAAATAGAGGAGCTTTCTGAGGATGAAAAAGAGAGAAGGGAAAGCACTGACAGCGGCGTGAGCATCGGCCAGCAGGACTCGATCAAAAACAGACCCCAAAGAGAGGAGGACAGCGGCTGTGGAAGTCTCACAGGAACCGAGGACAGCCTTAGCAGTGGAAGAAGAAGCCTTGAGGAGCTTCCTTTCCTGGATGGAGGAGGAAACAGCAGTAGTGTTGAAGGAACAAGAGAGGACAGTGGATTGGGAATTCAAACCCAAGATATTTCTGACAAACCCAAGCCTATGCATGATGATCTCTTATCTGAGATTGTAGTAATTGGGGATGGGTATCGTAGTCAGAGTCCTTCAGCTGAGGCTGAAACCGAAACAACCATTCAATGTGATGAAGACGCTAATATGGTTAGTCGCACCAATGGCTATCGATCTGGTCAAGTCACATGCTTGTGTTCTGACTCCGAAACTTGCATGTGGTGCAAAACCAGGAAGCACCTTACAGACTGTGATTCATTTTCTCACAAACAAACTGTTAATGACAATGATAGATCAAGCTATTTGAAAAAATCTCCTTTAGAGACTGTGAATATGTTTGGACTGGATGATCTATCCTGCCATTCAGACAAAACAGAGGAGTCGTCACTTTTCATTACATGTCCACTACTTTTAAAAGAGCCTTACAAGCTGGACACTTTGCCTCTTACATTAGGAGACGTAGAGCTGACATTTACGTGAGGCTTTTTCAGGTTGAACTAGGCTATTATTATGCATTTGTGCTAACAGATATTTATTTAGAATGGTGGCAGAGACGTGCTATATTTGCTAGGCCCTCAAATGAAGAACCAGCTTTTGTCACTTCCTTCATGCGTCAGGCCAGCGTTTTTGGTTAAATGCTGAGAAAAGACGAGATATGAAGAGTGTGAAATCATCAGGATATGATGACGCTCGTAGTAATTCTGGTTGACAGATTGCAATCCAATTCTGAATTGTGTTACAGACTTGTATTGATCATTTGCAAACTTGCACATGTATTGTAGATTTTGACTGTACATGTTATATATGTACTGACATTTTTTTATATGCTAAATTTCATTGCTGAATGTAATGAAATGTGATATTAATATGAATAATAATGGCATCGAAGTCAATATGCTGTGTTTTTGTCAATTATTTGATATAATCAAATCAACTATAATTATAATTTATACCAACAGAATTTGTGGGTTATTTAATTATTTTTTTAAATCTTTAAATGTTTAGGGGTAGAACAAAACTCAAAATTTACAGTTAGGAGTGTACTATATTATTTTGATTAGTGCATAAAAGGTGGTGCGGAACAATTGAAAACTTAAATATCAATTTGTTTACTTGCATTACATCCATTACTCAAAGGACATTACATATATTGCATTAATTACTCACCTATTTTACCCAAGATGTAAGAAAAGACTTTTGTCTGAACAATGTATCTGTAAAGTTTCAGCTCAAAATACCAATCAGTTTATTCATCATATAATGTAGAATCTGCCCATTTTAGTGGCTGAGGACAATGTAGCTGTTTTTGTAGCCTGTGGCTACAAATCCAAATGAGCTCCCTCTCCCCGCTCACCACTCTGATGTGCACGTCTGCTTCTCGTGTGTTACGTCAGATAAACAGCAGTCAGTGATAGAGACAGACACAGATGACGCTGAAATGTCACTAGTCAAAAATAGTTAGAAAGTTTATTTGATGTATATGTGGTGGACTATTCAAGCCTTTCTGAAATGACACACACAAATGCAGTTTGCAGTACACACACACTTACACACATATGTAAGTTTACTGGGACCATGTGGCTGTGGTGATTGTAGCGGTTAAGAATTACATAGCTATTGTACTCTCTTTATGAATAGGGTCTGTCTGTGGACTGCAACACATGAAGTAGTAGTGTAGTAGCATGAAGGGGCTTAACTTGAAGTTAAGGAGACTCACATGTCAAAACTCTGTTGTCAGCAAGATGGTGCTAGACATCATTAACATCCACACCCACTCCACACCTAAATCCAACCGTCACAGTTAAAATCTATACCTCCCACCCCCAACCATGATAGTTAATTAACATCTACACCTCCCCTAAACCTAAACCCAGCCATCATCATTATAAATGATCACAACTTCTCCAAACCTAAACCTAGCCATCACAGTTATTGTCTACATCTTCCCCAAACCTAAACCTAACTATCCCAGTTATTAACGTACCACCGCGAGTTGCGGAGGCTTTTATACTTGACCTGCTCACCATTGTACTGTTATTTGCAACCACAGGGGTCTTGACAAACTGATGAAGAAGTCAGCAAGTTGCATGGTGGAATTGCTAGATGACTGAATATTATACTATTTCAAATGATTAGGTTATGGATAAATTTGGAGAAAACTCATGAAAACATTTGGTGAAATTGTTCTCTGTTAAGTAGTTCTGCCATCTTGCCAACAACACCTCATCGTGACATCTCGCATGGTTCAGTGGGATCTCGATAACTGCAAGTTATGTCTCTCTAACTTATTGAAAGTTATGCCCCTTCATCTTAAGCCCCCCTCTTGCAGTCGGCAGAGAGATACAATTGCTGTTTATTACAAACTATTTATTTTAAACCTATAAAATAAATTATTGGGGTGCAGATGATTACAAGAAAGTTGTAAAATATGATTTAATCCCAGTTTTAAAAAAAAAATGTTCTGTGGACATGTTATCATGGAGAACTGGCACTTGTCAATTAAATCAGTGGGCGGGGAAATCACACCTAGAATTAGAAAAAACAAACTTGCTCGAACTCGAGAAAAGATGCGTTATGCGAACAGCCCCTAAAAGGCCGCTGTCATTTGCGATCTCCAGCAGTTGATCTTCTTGCACAGACATGGTGGATTCACCTGATTTGTTGACAAATGTGTTGCGGATCTATTCCTTGGCAGTTTGCGGGTCCTTAACTGGGTCTTTTCCCCTTAGCAAAGAAACTTTCCAAAAACGTCTGCTTTCTTACTCATTTTGCTGCTTGTGGGTTAAAGTTGAGCCCTCAAGTGACCAAAATGTAATCGAGAGAATATGGAATACGATCAATTTTCAAAATAAAAGACTCAGATAAAAAGTAATATAAAAATAATTAATGATATCTTATGCGGCCCAATACCAATTGATCCACCGACTGGTACTGGTCTATGGCCTGGTGGTTGAGGACCACTGCTTTAAAGCATACGTTATTAAAAAAAAATAAAATAAATAATGACAATTTAAGCAAAAATGTTGACATTACTATAGATAATGATAGATAAAGAAACTAATAAGAAGAATAAACAAATAAGCAAAAATTGTCATTTAAATCTTAATAATTTTTATTTATTAGTTTGGTTGTCAAAATTGCATCGATACGAGGATGTCAAATGGTTCTGACATTAAATCAATTAACATTTTTAAAAACAAATTGATGTACTTTTTATGTCATTTGATTAAGGAAGGTCCAAAGACTGTGAATGTAGACCTAATAATTCAGCAACTGTTGATATTTTGGTTTGGGAGGGTCATTTTTGAGAAAGTTCCTCTGACAATGAGGAAAAGAAGAACACTGATACAGTCTCGGAAAACAGAAATCTCATTTTGCATGCTATCTTAATCAAATTTGATATATATACTCATGAAACACTTGGCTTTCAATTAATATTTCATAATTCATAGCACGTTACATTAATATATCATTTGTAAAAATTACATTATTACATTTGTAAATCGAAAAACAAATGATGAGCACAATACATTTTTTTTCTCATGACTTCATAATGTATAACTTTTTATATTTTTGAGCATGTAACGTTCCTTTTTACCACAGTAAAGCTCAAAGTGTCATCTTCCCAATGATCCCTAATTTGTGTTTGTAGCTTACTGGAGTCAGGAACTATTACTATTTAAATTTAGGTAAAACGTGAGTGCTGGGTAATAGGTTTATTACTGGGTATGTTAACAATACTATAGCCAGCCACTCTAACAATTTGAATGTTTGGTATTGCTTTCCTTTTTTTCAAAATTTTAAAAAGATTTGTTTTAGGTTAGGATGGAAAGCCCAGTTAGTGATGTATATGTGTACAGACTCATCGTGTTTCTTTTCAAAGTCACAAGCAATTCATCACACCCCTTACAATACAGCTGCTTTTCAGGGTGTTGATATGGTGTTTAACTATATGTTGATCACTGGCCCAAATCAAAAGAGGCCTTTTTCTTTTTCTTTTTTTTTTTATTAAGTACACTTATCTTTTAGCACACTTTGGTTTTCTATACTTACTGGGTGCTAAACAGGAAACAAACAGTTTGCATTTAATCTGTACGAAGATCAGATGCAAATTTTGTGGCAGGAATGTACCTTGTGAAATCCCAATTTCAATACACAAATTTTAATTATGCAGGGAAAAACCAACACTTCCTATAGTGGAAACCCTGTGTTTCTGTTTGCGTGTTAAAATGACAGGATGTGCCCGTGACTTCCTCTAGCAGTAAACCATGTCACTTCTGTATTCCGTTGCTAATCACAAATAGAGATAAGATAAGCTGTGGAGAATCCATAATTTTTTTTTGCGCAGGCGAAGTCTTAGATACTTGTATCTTCCGAACCAAGATCTAGAAGGTTGTCCCTAAAGCATTACTCATTATTTCCGCAGAGTCATAGGACTATGTGATGCAATGTACTGAGAGAGCAAATGAGAGAACAGAACGAAACTCAACCACAATCATTGACCTCCTTCTTCATATAGAGAAGGAAACAAACAGTGCTTTTCAGTTTGTATTCTGATTCAACACACTGTCACAGAAGCTTACGTAAAATTAAGATGATGTGATTTGATGTTGGGTAATGGAAGAAAAAGCAGATGTTTGGAGAAATGTATATATTGCTTCAGAATCAGTCTGTGCTACTATAGTAATTGTCTATTAGTATTTTTCACATAAAGTCCACTGTTTAATACAATACTCCAATACAACACGAGAATTGACAAAAATACTTATGTACACTGTACATGTCTTGAGCTTACAGTCATTTGTAGAATGCTTTCTCATCTCTATAGCAAATTGCTTTCTCACACAAGTCACTTACCTTAGCTTACATAGAACACAACAGTACAATTGATACATTTATATTAGAGGTTAAAAATAACTGTAACACTTTTTAGTTTAAGTATCAATTCTCAGTATTACTAGTGGACAAAGACGAGATCTTTGAGCAATCTTTGATCATCATCTTCAGCTTAACCTCGCGAATGGAAATGCTTGAAGTTTCCGCCAACCCGACTCTACATCATAACTTTTCAATCCAGATGGATTTGGCAACCATAACTGCATCCAAAATGGTGAAAAGCCTTGGAGTAATGATTGATGACCAACTAAACTTCTCTGACCACATTTCTAGAACTGCTTGATCTTGCAGATTCGCACTCTATAACATCTCCTTGTTCAAGCTCTTGTTTTCACCAGACTGGACTATTTCAACTCTCTAATAGCCGGACTTCCAGCTAACCCTATCAAACCTCTTCAGCTGCTTCAAAACGCAGCAGCACGAGTGGTCTTTAATGAACCTAAAAGAGCACGTCACTCCGCTACTCATCCGTTTGCACTGTCTGCCAGTTGCTGCTCGCATCAAATTCAAAGCTCTGATGTTTGCTTACAAAGCAACTTCTGGCTTTGCTCCTTCTTATGTGCTCTCACTTCTGCAGATTTATGTGCCCTCTAGAAACTTGCATTCTGTGAATGAACGTTGCCTTGTGGTTCCATCCCAAAGATGGAAGAAATCACTTTCACGAACTCTTGCGTTAAATCTGCCCAGTTGGTGGAATGAACTCCCTAACTGCATCAGAACGGCAGTCACTCGCTATCTTTAAAAAACGACCAAAAACTCAACTATTTAGTTTCCACTTTCCTTCCAATTGCCTCTCTGGCTCCACCACTAACTGTACTACAAAAAAAAAAAAAAATTACTAATGTTTTTGCTTCTTACACTTCACATACCTGAAACTTGCCTACAGCACTTATTCATTGTTGCTCTTATAGTTGTGTAAATTGCTTCCTTGTCCTCATTTGTAAGTCGCTTTGGATAAAAGCGTCTGCTAAATGACTAAATGTAAATGGTACAAGCCACCTCAAGTGAAGCGTTTTTCTTTCTTTTTTTTTTCAGTCATTGCAAATCATTGCAAAGCAAAGTGGCTGAAATTACTTCGCTTGGCAGGGTGCACCCTTAGGGTGAGGAGCTCAATACTCCTGCAAAAGGCAAGTAATTTCAGCTGCTTTTATCACTGCTCACTGCCACTGCTCCTCCACACCGAGAGAAGCCAGTTGAGGTGACTTGGGGATCTGTTTAGATGCCTTCTGGATGTCTACCTAGCAAGGTGTTCTGGGCTCAGGGGTGGACTTAACCAATAAGCAAGGTAAGCAGCCGCTTATGGCCCATTTCCACTGAGTGGTACGGTATGAACCACCTTTTCGGCATGCTTTCGAAAGGGTACGAAACATGAGAAAGTGTACCAAAAAGTGGAGCTACACATGCAGCTGAAAGCTGATTGGTTACAGATATACGTCATGAGCTCGTGTGGAGCTAGCCAAAATGAAAACAAAGAAACCGCCATGTTTTAAATACACAGTCGAGACATTACACCGTAATACTATATGCATATAATAATGAGCCATAGTCAACCCCAACTAAAACAAACGTTGTTGTTGTATTGATGTACAGACACAAAACCAAGAAGAACAAAGTCTGCCGTTTCCTGTTGTTTGACGAGGTTGTCTAAAAGTGCGAGCGGTTGTCGCTTTATTCCAGGAGCTCATGATTGCATCTATATTTGATATAATGAACTGAGATGATAAGAATAACATGTGTGTGATTAGTGTAGTGTCTCTATCATCCTATCTTTTCAGAAAGAAAAGGACAAACACGAGAGTTAACCACGAACAAAAAAAGTAGAAGCCCGACAAAACACATGGAGCAAATTGTTTCATCACAAACAAACTGCGATTATATAAAATAAATAAAATAAATGCAACATATGAACAGATACAGACTCTTACAGTCACAAATAGGTTACCAACTGCAGAAAAACTACACACTAGTGTTGGAGTACTCGACCGTGGACTCGAACTCGAGTCCAGTTTTGATTGGACTCAGACTTGTCTCTGTAAACTTTTACTCGGACTTGGACATAAAAACATCACCAGTACAGTCGAGTCCACATCATTCACAACACAAATAAAGAGATTAAACAGCATAAATAGCAGCATGAAACTATAACAAGAATTCTGCGAACTCTCTGACTGCCAGCATTTATTTCCGCCACCACACTGGCAGATAGCAGCAGCATGTCTTTACCTTAAACGTGTAACCACAAAAAAGCCATATCACAAAATGCGTGGCTAGGTCTAGGACAATAATGTCTTCAAAATCAGCAATAATTGGTCTTCTATCGACATGTTGAAAGAAAACAAAGAAAGGTAAGAGCTTATTTACTTGAATGGTATATTCATATCGTAGTAGGAACGATGTTATACATACTGACATTATTGTTTTGTTGTTTATATTGGTTTAAATATATCCGCAAAAAACTGCCAGATTCAAAGTTTTGCGCTTTGGCTCTGAGCCAGAGAAAGATGCGTCC